GTCGCTTAGTTTTGTTGGTAGTCTTGACTGTCCTGATACAAATTTAAGGAACAATGACCTCTCTTCAGTATTGAACTACTTCAGTGACTGCCAGAGCCACACGTATACATCAGCAATAGCAGATCCGTCTTTATATCTGAAGATAAAGCTCGAGATAAAGCAGGACAAGAGAAAGGAGAGCCACAACTTTTCAAAATACCAGCCCCACCCAAGCGTGATTCAGCCAATCAGCCCTAGTCAGGGTCAGGCCCGCCTGACTAAATCAGCCCTGCCTGGCAGTGCCTGCCCTGGTCGAGGCCCTGGCCTGGGGCTCCTTTTCACCTCGGATACAAGACAGACGATAAGAGCAGAAGGAGGTTTTTGACACAAGGAAACAGTTTTTGGCCTGCTGGGCCACTGGCCCCATTGTTCATTGCCAGGGAGCTATGGCCACTTCTATGGGCTCCAACTTAGGTATTTTCCTATTTGGACTCGCCCTTATTTTTGTTTGTGCATTTAGATATAAAGGACTTAATTCATATTTTTGACTTTTTGAAGGAATGTGGCTTCTCAGGAACTAAGTTTCATGAGTTTGGACTGAGACTAGGACTACGAAAGCCTACAATGGATGTCATTCAATATAACCATCCCCATGATGCATCCCGTAGTTTGACCGAATGTCTTGACAAATGGTTAAGTAGAGCTGATGATGTTGACAGTAAAGGAGGGGCCACCATTGACTCATTAATACATGCACTTGTGTCTATGGGAGAGACTGCTGCAGCTGAAAAGCTAAGTGAGTAATATCACTCAGTTATTGTATTACTATTGCACGGTCTATTCTACTATAGAAATTCTCACTATCATGGAAAATCACCTTCCTTCCTCACAATCTCTTCATGATCCTTTAAGTACTGTCTGTCTGTTACATTACAGAGAGCATTTGCTAACAGAAGAAGTGGTCACTAAGGTTGATTCTGCTCCTTCTATTCCTGATCAATGTGATGTCCTATTTGCTGCTGTCACAGAAGCTGTTCAAACTGATCCCAACAATTTACAGACGTTTGCTAGAGTGTTATGCAAAGTATCTACTAATGAGCAACTAGGATTAGCTATTAAAAAAGATATTAGTAAGTATGTCAATTTTCACAACAATTTTATTAAATTACACAACAATGTTTGTGTTTTTAGATAAATACTTTCCTCATCTTCAACTGGGTATTGAGCCACAAAGTAAGTAGATTAGCAATGATAACAGTAAGGTAGCAGCTCAGTTATGTATTAATTTATAATGCAATTAGCCCTTTTAAACCAAAAATTATGCTTTAAAAGCTATAAATTTTGCAGTATCCCTGAATGTAAAATTTTGTATCCCTTTCCTTTACTTCATGTTTGTGCTTCAAAGTATGAAAAAGTCTCATGACAATTACGTACCGTATAGTGGGAAATTTTGGAGGAAATTAAATTTGGAGAATTTGGCATTCTGATAGCCATTTGCCAAAAGAATCCACCATTTTGAGCCATTATACACATGCTCAATGGCACATGGCCACTAATTTGCTAAATTAAAATCCGCCAATCACCAAAGTTTAGCAATTCGCCAAATTTTACTCCCTCCAAAATTTCCTGCTATGGGTACATTGTGATACGTTAAATTTTCAATTTATGATTATAAATTGACAATTTAATGTATCACAATGTAATTGGCACACTATGTATGGTAAGCATGATAAAATCATTATGATAACAATTATTTTGAACTATATACTACCTGCTACTATCATGCACAATGATATGAAGCTAAAGAGGAATGTGATGTTTATACTAGTCTTTCATACATTTACATTGTACTTTAACTAGAGTCGGTTGTTGCTTGGAAGGAGGCGCCGTAGGCGGAGCAGGCCCCGCCTCATTACCAAGGGGTCAAGCAAATTACAATAATAAATGAACCCCTGAGAGTTCCTAATAATCAGGGGTTACCCCTACTAATTATTAATTTATTCAATTATATAGTTCTTGCCATGCCCCTGGTGAGGCGAGACCCGCACGGCGACTATCACGCCAACTTGGCGGAGATTAGTTTTAAGGGAGGAGGGATGTGGGTAGAAAATGAAAACTCCACGTAAGAGAGATAGAGAGCTGTTTCTGTCTCACAGAAGAACTGGAACATGTGCCTACTGAGCATGCGCCTTGTCCTCTCCCCAAGCTCCACCCTCCTCAGTTAACTTTGTTTAACCCTTCTGGTTAAACTCCATTTAATGATGAATACAGAGCTGTTATAATCTTTATTTTTATTTTGTAGTAATGCCATCTGCTCCTACTGGCACTAACAAAGAAGGTCGTCCTTTACTTTCTTCTGATGCACTAAATGATATACCAGATGATAGACCAAAAGTATCTGAATTGATAGAGTTTTACGAGTTATTAATCAAAGGACAACTGGAGGAGTCTCTACCTCTGCTTGATGCTGATATTATAAGAAAGATTAGAAATGCTGTTAATGATCAAGAAGGAATGTCACTTCTTATAAGAGCATTTGATGAGCATCCTACGCTACTATATAAAATGAGAGCTACTAAAACAATTGAAGGTAAAACTAAAATTTTTAATATAATGCAATAAAATTTTTAATATAATGCAATAAAATTGAAATTATATAAATATAGTAATTAGTGCATTTTTTGTTACGTTTTAAATAGGTTTATCACAAAAGACATTCGAGACTCCTCCATCCTCAGCACTTCAACTACCACAACAACCATTGCTAACTACTCAATCTCTTGTGGCAACATCAAATCAAAGTCATTCATCACAAATTCAGCAACACCAATCACAGCTCATGCGCAATGAGCCTCATCCTTTTCCCAGCACTGTAATAGAACTCAGTTCAAAGGAAGAAGTCGCTTGCAGTATCGAATTACTACATCATCAGTTTACCAGTCTTGTCTCAAAAATAAGGAGACTTTTTATAGAGCTTGTTTCCAATAAAGAAGTGGAAGCAGATGATGTTGCTTTTCATGCAGAACAATTTTTGGGGCAAGATTTAAAGCTAACAGAAATCAACATAAGCACTATATTTAATGCCATTAGACCTTATTGTGGCCTCTTTAATTTTCGATTACTCAGGAGTTTAGTTCATCATTTCATTCCCTTATCAAATGATCTTTGTACTGAACTAACTCAGTACATTGATGATCTTGGTAAATTCTCAGAATCAGCACAATTGAAGCACATACGATCAACAATCAAAGAGAAATTGTCATCATTACCAGCAGTAGCCTCACCAACCACTAGTGATCAAACAAAACCAGTCGTTATTAAACTGAATGATGGATGGGAAAAAATTACAAAAGCTCAGCTCGAGAAAGTCCTTAAGCATTACTTTGGACCAGATTCAGATATCTTTAGTTACATTAGCTTTGATTATGGTTCATTTGTTGTTACACTGTTAATACCAACCTCACTATCACAGTCTCTTATTTCTACAATCAATGACAAAAGAGGATCAATGAACAGGTTAGGAATATTGGAAGTTGCTGTGGACAAAAGTACAATTTCTATTGGAAAAGAAGAGGATAACAATTTTGAAATTTCACTCCATCAATCAGTTAAAGCTGGTGACAGTTTTGAAGTATCAATGCTACTGCAGTTAGGAGCTGACCCTAACAGTAAAAATAAGAGGGGAAAGAGTGCCATAGAGATAGCTAATGAAGAAGGACACACTCAAATAAAAGAAATATTATTAACTGGTAGAGGTGAGTCAGTTATTACACAGTATACACACACAGCTTTGACACATGTGCGAATAGTGAGTATTTTATTTAATTGCACAAAGGCAATAAATTTTTAGTGCTTCAGTTAATCTAAAAAAATTACAATTAAGAGTCAAGTTATTAGCTCAATTCAGCAGCTTAATTCAGCAGTATAAAATCAAGAGTAAATGATTTACTCTTGATAAAATTTATAGGTATTTTTTAATTAATAAAGCACTCATTTTATTATTTTGTAGGAACACAGCTATTGAAATTATTTAAGGATGCCAATTATGAAGATGCCATTCGTTTGTTACCCTACATTGAAAACCTACAACAGTTACGAGATGAAGTTACTATCAAAATTTCTCCTTTCGATACGTATCAAGTGGAGGCAAATTTACTTCATATGGCTTCATGGAATGGCTGGTTAGATGTTACAAGTGATCTCATCACTAAATATGACTGTGATCCACAAGAAGAAGATAGTAATGGAAATACCTGCCTTCATTATGCTGCAATGGGTAATCATGTTGATGTGGTGAAGTATCTCATTAATGAGTGTTCCAGTGATCCAATGGCTACTAATGAGGATGGAGACACTGTTCTTCACAAAGCAGCTTATTATGGATCACTTGATGTCATGAAGTATCTAATCGATCATCATAACTCTGACTTAAGAGCTACCAACAAAAAGGGTGAAACTATTCTTCATTGTACTGTTGAGCATGTTGATATTCTGAAGTATCTTATTGATGAATGTAACTGTGATCCAATGACTACTACCTTTTATGGAAGGACACCTCTTCACTATGCCGCTAATTTTGATTGTTCTGCATCTGTTGAATTTTTGCTATCAACTGGTAAATGCGATCCTCTCGCTAAAGATAAGGATGGAAAAACACCAGTACGACTAGCTAAAGAGAGGCAACAGAATGGTAGCACTAATACTCTTCCTATCTTCAAGAAGTTTGGTAATATAAGATCATCTCATCCAATCGATTCATATGTTAATGTCATCCTTGTGGGTAGTTCTGGAGCTGGTAAAAGTACTCTTAGTCATGTCATCAACAATACAGCTACTTTTACCCTTCTTGGCTCCTTTAGGAATGTTGGTGGGGTAGTGCCCTGTACTGCTGGTATCATTCCTTATAAACTACAACACAAGACACTGGGTAACATCATTCTTCATGATTTTGCTGGTCATTCAGAATACTACTCCAGTCATAGTACTGTCATTGAGAATCTGCTACAAGGTTCTGGTGGTGTGTTCCTCATAGTAGTAAATATATTGGAGAAGGAAGCAGTCAAACAGCTTCATCAGTGGCTAACAATTGTGAGACATGAAGCACAGAAAGCTCTTAATCAATGCCATATCATTATTATAGTCAGTCATGTGGATAAGGTAAAGAATTTTATTGAAAGGAGAAGGAGAAAGGAAGAAATGCAGGAGATTATTGTAAGGGAAAGGTGTGATAGTATCTTCTTAGATTGTCGTAAGCTTGGTGGGAGTGGTGTGGATTCCTTCTTTAATAAGTTGTCCATTGCCTGTGAGTCCATTCGTAGTACAATTGGAAGGAATTTGAGTCTTTATTGTCACATGATGTATGGTCTACTGGAAGAAAGGAAAGAGAATATACTGACCCTCTCTGATGTCATGGCTGCTGGTGAGGGTAATGATGATTATGTTTTACCTGATAAAAGAGAAGATGTCTTGGATATTCTTCATTCATTGCATTCAACTGGTTTGATGAGTATTCTTGAAAGTGAAGACAAGCTATGGGTTGTTGT